TTCAATCCATGGTGGTGTATTGTGTTACCAATGGTTTCTTGGTGACTGTGGTCCAAACTGCCTTGGGATCATTCACAAGGTCCTCTAGCGTATTTCTGGGCTGATCCCTCACTTTTCTCCTGATCATACCTGTAGCCATTGTGAGCAATAGAGACATGGAAGCTGTACATGACAGCCATCTTGTGAAAGTCTCAGAAGCAGTGTTCCCACTCCCCCCCCCCGTTGCAAACTATGGAATTTCTAGCTGTACCTTTTAACCAACTTCAAAAGAACCTCTCATCTTAATTAAAACACAAATAGACGCAGTGGCCAGACCTGACCAGAGCTGTAAACAGCTAATTAGTCTTAGCAGAATGTCTGTTTTCATGAACCAAGAAAAACACTCCTCTGTCCTAACGTAAAATAATATTAACTTAGTCAAACTGTCACACATAACCTGTAAGGCCTTTAAGGCTCTAGGAATGTAGAGCGTGCCATAAAGGTCTATTCCACAGCTAACAATTTCACATACAACTCATAGAATTCAACAGGAACAGGGCACATTAATATTCGGTATATATTTAAATATGGAATATCATACCAAACAAATCAAGGTCATACATGACTATGTTAGCACATATGAAAGGGGAGAAAGCAGTCTCCTCCCTCCTGGGTGACTAAGGTATGCTGTGTTTGGTATCCCTGTGTTTGAAACATAACACTGAATAGTGATCTGCCAGTTGCTAGAATACCACCTGCACGTATTGGAAGTTGTTAATATTAGTATGAAACTGTAGTCGGGTCTTGGTCATAAATTTGGTGACCTCCTAGCACCCATCCCCTAAACCAGATGATTAGTCAGTTGTTCTTGGGCGACACCCTTTGATATCATAGAAAAGGGACTGACCGGATCTAGTAGGGGAGCTCTCGTTTAACATCAACCAAGGAACATCTTAACGGACTTGAAAACCAAGGCATTGTTTTTGCTTGGACAATTGGACTCTGCTAAAACCAAGGACTTAGCAAGTATTCTGCCTTCTTAGCTCCTTTCTATTATCTCTCTGTTGCATTATTGTTCTCTTTATTTCTTTGCAACATCCCTTTCTATAAATATTTTAATTGCACCATTTGACCTTTTCTTTAATAAACCCTATTTTGAAAAGTGTTAAAATTATCTTTAAGGTTTTTAATGCAAACTAAAGAATCCCTGTCTCTTGAAAAGTGTTACTGTATATAATAATCCTCTGAATATACCTTTCTCTGGTGACAGTGTGTGTTACAAACATTTATTGTTCACAGCAGTTCTTACTAACATTGTAAAGGGTTGATAGTTCCAAAGCTATCTGGTGGCAGCTTGGAGTTTAAAGGGTTAATTGCGTAATTAATTAACCCAGTAACAAGCGCTCTCAGGCTGTTGGCACATAGATTGTGGTCCCGCGAGCTGGAAAATTTCTGTGCAGGGTGCAGCTGAAGGTGGCATTGTTATGCAAGTGACAGCACGGTGTGAGATTGGCTGGTCCTTTGTCACGAATTGGTGAGAAGGGCAGAGGTCAGGTACCGTGTTTGTCACAATCCTTACCCCATGAGGAGAAAGCTTGCATGGAGCTCCAGACCGAGGGCGATTGATGGTTATTTTGTATTTCTTCCATTTGCAAATAATTGCTTTAACAGTTGTCTCCTCACCAAGCTTCTTGCTGACTATCTTGTAGCCCATTCCAGCCTTGTGCTGGTCTACAATCTTGTCCCTAATGTCCTTTGACAGCTCTTTTGTTTTGACCATGGTAGTGCCCAGACACAAATTTCTGTGGACAGCTGTCTTTTATACACATAACTAGTTGTCGTTAGGAGCACCTTCTTAAATTGACAGGACTAATCTGTGTACCACATGAGCACAGTGCGAGCACAGTCAATGGGAGCCAGAAAATGGGACTAGAGAATGTGAAGTGCAGTGTAAAGAATGAGGTGGTGTGGAAAAGGAAATGTACAGCACGGCATACAGAATGAGGGGACAAAGATGCCAAAGCACACCCCTCACATCCCAGTGGAGATAGATGGAACTTGCACAATCAATGCTTACATCTGATGAGATGGCAGAGTGAGCAATAAGTACAACCCTATGATTACCACCATTAAAAAATAAATTGCCAATATGTTTGTAAATCAGGACAAACCCTTAGTAGACTACAAACATACATGGAAAGCTTCAGGGAGTTTGCAAATGGAGGACATTCAAAGCTTTCCAAGCACACTATTTGCAGGCCAGTCACTGCTTCAGACTACACGTGCTATATCTGCTCCTGTTGCACTTGCCAATGTCAGAGAAGGTTAGTGTTACGGCAGCAGCTTTCCCAGTGTGACATCAGCACCTGACCTTGAGCACATATAGAAATATTTATAGATGCATTACAGGTACTTACAAAGCATTGTCAATGTACACAGTGCTTTACACATATATTGTACTTTCAAATTAGTCTCTGCCCTCAAGGAGCTTACAATCTAAGGTCCCTAACTTACATTCATACATACTGGGGCCAATTTAGACAGGAACCAATTAACCTATCAGCATGCCCTTGGAGTGTGGGATAAATCCAGAATACCCAGAAGAAGCCCACGCAGGCACAGGGAGAACATGCAAACTCCAGACAGGTAGTACTGTGGCTGGGATTCGAACCAACGACCCTAGTGCTGCTAATAATGTTTGTGACAGACTGCCTGCACCCCGCCTGGGTGCTTCCGTCAGAGGATTGCTGCCTCGCCGCTGGGACACAGAACAAAGGTATTATAGCTGGGCATTGTACCCAAGAACTAGACGACACTGGCTTGAGTGCAAACCGGAACAGTTTATTGAATCAAAATACAGATTTTTATACACTTCAGAAATAGGGGCAATCCCACATGTATAATAAAAAAAAACATTACACATTGGGATAAATATCCCACATTTATTAGATAACGAGGTCAAATTGACACAAGACTAATCCCATCATGTGGTAACCTCCAGGAGAACTAGCCAACAGACAAAAACAATCGGTGACTCAATTAACTCAATTATCAATGGGACAAAGATATAGGTGAAACTCGAAAAATTAGAATATCGTGCAAAAGTTCATTTATTTCAGTAATGCAACTTAAAAGGTGAAACTAATATATGAGATAGACTCATTACATGCAAAGCAAGATAGTTCAAGCTGTGATTTGTCATAATTATGATGATTATGGCTTACAGTTTATGAAAATCCCAAACCCACAATCTCAGAAAATTAGAATATTACATGCAATCAATAAAACAAGGATTGTACATAGAACAATATCGGACCTCTGAAAAGTATAAGCATGCATATGTACTCAGTACTTCGTTTGGGCCCCTTTTGCAGCAATTACTGCCTCAGTGCAGCGTGGCATGGAATCTATCAGCCTGTGGCACTGCTGAGGTGTTATGGAAGACCAGGATGCTTCAATAGCGGCCTTCAGCTCTTCTGCATTGTTTGGTCTCATGTCTCTTGGCAATGCCCCATAGATTCTCTATGGGGTTCAGGTCAGGCGAGCTTGCTGGCCAATCAAGCACAGTAATCCCACGGTCATTGAACCAGGTTTTGGTGCTTTTGGCAGTGTGGGCAGGTGCCAAGTCCTGCTGGAAAATGAAGTCAGCATCCCATAAAGCTAGTTTGCGGAAGGAAGCATGAAGTGCTCCAAAATCTCCTGGTAGACGGCTGCGTTGACCCTGGACTTAATAAAGCACAGTGGACCAACACCAGCAGATGACATGGCTCCCCAAATCAACACAGACTGTGGAAACTTCACACTGGACTTCAAGCATCTTGCAGTGTGTGCCTCTCTATTCTTCCTCCATACTCTGGGTCCTTGGTTTCCAAATGAGATGCAAAAGTTGCTCTCATCAGAAAAGAGGACTTTGAACCACTGAGCAACAGACCATGTCTGTTTTTCTTTAGCCCAGGTAAGACGCTTCTGATGTTGTTTGTTGTTCAGGAGCAGCTTGACAGAAGGAATATGACATTTGAAGCCCATGTCCAGGATCCGTCTGTGTGTGGTGGCTCTTGATGCACTGACTCCAGTCTCAGTCCCCAACACTTTTGAATGGCCTTTTCTTGACAATCCTCTCCAGGCTGCGGTCATCCCTGCTGCTTGTGCACCTTTTTTCTTCCACACTTTTCCCTCCACATAACTTTCTATTAATGTGCTTTGATACAGCACTTTGGGAACATTCAACTTCTTTTGCAATTACCTTTTGAGGCTTTCCCTCCTTATGGAGGGTATCAATGATGGTTTTCTGCACAACTGTCAGGTCAGCAGTCTTTCCCATGATTGTAATTCCTACTGAACCAGAATGAGAGACCATTTAAAGGCTCAGGAACCCTTTGTAGGTGTTATGGCTTAATTAGCTGATTAGAGTGGGACACTTTGAGCCGAGAATATTGCACCTTTGCACAATATTCTAATTTTCTAAGATTGTGGATTTGGGGTTTTCATGAGCTGTAAGCCATAATCATTGCAATGATGACAAATCACTGCTTGAACTATCTTGCTTTGCATGTAATGAGTCTATCTCATATATTAGTTTTCACCTTTTAAGCTGCATTACTGAAATAAATTAACTTTTGGACGATATTCTAATTTTTCGAGTTTCACCTGTACAATGGTAAACACTAGAGATGAGCGAAGTATTCAAAAATTCGATTCGACTGATTCGGCGAATTCGTAGAAAAATTTCGATTCGAGTCGAATATATTCGCTGTGAATTTAACTTAAAAAAGGGTGTTTCTAGGCTTCAGAGAGACTTAATATTAGTGCTGAACACTGTACCTTTAATTTAAATGCCCTTGGAGTCTGCTGGGGAAGAGAAATAATACTGTCAGGCAGTATGACATGCAGATGAGTGCCGTCGATCTTAGAATCACCGCACACTTCACTCATTTGGCCAGTCACGGGCCAAAACCAGAGTGTGGAGCCACAGTGTGGCGGTGGAGGCAGCAGCAATGGGAGGCCATGCAGCACCCTATGACAAAAATGGAAACCACCAGCAGTGTGAGGAGACCTGAAAGTGGCACATGGCAGAGTGTGGCGATAGAGACAGCAGCAATGGGAGGCCGTACAGGGACCCATGACACACTCTGGACCTGGCAGCAGCATGAGGAGGCGGTACAGGGGCCCATGGCAGATTACGGCCTGGCAGCAGCATGAGGAGTCGGTAGGGGGGCCCATGGCAGATTACAGGCCTGGCAGCAGCAATGGAGGCCGTACAGGGACCCATGACACAATCTGGACCTGGCAGCAGCATGGGGAGGCCGGTACAGGGGCCCATGACAGATTACGGGCCTGGCAGCAGCATTTGGAGTCGGTACGGGGGCCCATGACACACTCTGGACCTGGCAGCAGCATGAGGAGGCGGTACAGGGGCGCATGACAGATTACGAGCCTGGCAGCAGCAACTTGGACAGGAGGACGTTCAGTTTC